AAACACACTGTCCAATGGAATAGAATTGAGAGCACAGAAATAAACCCACTTAAATACAGTCAACTAATATTTGATAAGGGTTCTTAGAATAGTCAATGGAGAAAAAATGGTCTTTTCAATAAATGGTGTGGGGCAAATTGGATATTCACATGCAAAAGAATAAAACTAGACCCCCATTCTTCACCACTCACAAAAATTAACTCAAAATGGATTAAAGACTTAAGTGTAAGACTAGATACTATAAAATTCCCCAAAGAAAACATAGGATAATACTCTTTGACATGGCTTTGGCATTGATTATTTGGATGTGACACCAAAAGCATATTTAACAAAATAAAAAATAAGCAAGTGGGACTACATCAAAAGCTTCTGCTCAACAAAATGAAAAGACAACCTATCAAATGGGAAAGAAAGTATTTGCAAACCATGCATCTAATAAGGGATTTATATTTAAACTACATAAAAATTCATACAACTCGATAGCAGGAAAACAAAGAATACAATTAAAAATGGCCAGAGCACCTAAGTAGAATAACCGGAATATTTTTCCAAAGACGATATATGAATGGTCAACAGATACATAAAAATCTGCTAAACATCACTAATCAACAGAGAAATGCAAACCAAGAGCACAATGATATAGCACCTTATACTTGTTAGTATGGTTAGTATCAAACAGACAAGGGGTAACAAATGCTAAGAGAGAATGTGGAGAAAAGGGAACACTTGTGCACTGCTGGGTGAGTTGTCATTTGATCCAGGTATTATTGAAAATGAATGAAGTTCCTTAAAAAATTACAAACAAACTACCATCTATGATTTAGCAATTCTGCTTCTGGTTATTTACTGAAAGGAAATGAAAACACTATGTCAAAGATGTAGCTGTGCCCTTATGTTTATAGCAGCATTATTTACAATAGCAAAGACATGGAAATAACCTAAGTTTTCATGAATGGATAAAGATGTAATTACACACACACACACACACACACACACACACACAATTTTTTAGCCATAAAAAAGAATGAAATCTTGCCATTCGGAAAAAAAAGAATTTTAAGAGCATTATGCAAAGAAAAAGACAAATACTGTATGACCTCATTTATATATGCAAAGTCAAAACAAAACAAAGATTTGTGGTTTCCTGAGGTGGGGGTTGGAGAAGGGATAATTGGATGAATGTGGTCCAAAGGTACAAACTACTAGTTACAATATAAGTCATTATTAGAGATGTAATGTTCAACATAATGACTACCACAGTTAACACTGCTGTATGGTACCTTTGAAAGTTGTTAAGAGAATAAATCCTGAGTTCTCACCACAAGGAAAACCTCCCCCCACCCCCCCCGCCACCCTGACCCTTTTCCCTTATATCTATAGGAGGTGATAGCTGTTCACTAAACTTATTGTGGTAATCATTTTACAATATATATATGTCAAATCATTATGCTTTATACCTTATATTTATACAGTGCTGTATGTTAAATATATCTCAAAACTGGGAAAAAGAAAGATACCAAGAGAAATTTAGAGCTCGTGTTTGATGAAATTATCAACTACTGTCATATTCCTTCAGTTATAAGATGCCTTCATTTTTTATAAAATTAGTCTAATTATAGTAGTTCAGTAAAAAAAAAAGAACACACCAAAAAAAAAAAAAACCACACTACACAAATGTTGTAACGTTACTGATAGTAGAAATAGTAAAATGATGATCTCACATTCAAAGATATAATTATATGTATTCTTTTTGCAGGTACTTGTTGGCTTGTGTACATTTAGGCTCTGCTCAGACACAATTTAAAAAGATCACCTATTGGGGCACCTGGGTGGCTCAGTCAGCTTAGGTCACAGCCTCAGAGTTCATGAGTTAGAGTCCCATGACAGGCTCTATGCTGAAAGCTCAGAGCCTAGAACCTGCTTCAAATTTTGTGTCCCCGTCTCTCTCTGCCCCTTCCCTGCTTGTGCTCTGTTTCTCTCTCTCTCTCTCTGACCCTCCCCTGCTCATGCTGTCTCTCTCTCTCTCTCAAAATAAGTAAACATTAAAAAAAATTTTTTTTAAATGTTTTTATTTATTTCTAGGAGAGAGAGAGAGACAACATGAGCAGGGGAGGGTCAGAGAGAGAGGGAGTCACAGACTGAAACAGGCTCCAGGCTCTGAGCTGGCAGTCAGCACAGAGCCCGACGCGGGGCCCGAACCCATGAACCGCGAGATCATGACCTAAGCGAAAGTCGGACGCTTAACCGACTAAGCCACCCAGGCTGGCGCCCCTAAAAAAATTTTTTTAAAAAGATCACCTATTGACTTATTCCAATAGGAATGCTCCCTATTAAGGTGCAAATTCTCTCAATCTGTTGGTGATCCAGGATAGTGACTCTAGTTTCATGTGAGTCTTCATTTACATGTCCTTCCTTAACAATGTCTGAACAGGTTTACTTGATCCTTTGTAAAAGATCAACAAAAGCATTCTTTGAAACTTAAAATCCACCTTTTAAAACATTCAGTTTATAGTTAACAGAATCTTAAAAACCATTCTTTCAAGTTGCTTGCAGCAGTTTTCCCAAGCTTCAGAAAAATTCATGGCACAACTGTCACTCCTTATGGCCCTTTTACTTTTGACAGTCATGGAGCTAAAATGTAGAGCTTATAGACAATGCAATGCATAAAATAGAACTCTAGCAACTGCTATCCCATTGTCTGAATTGGCTCTTTGGTAGAAAACTATCAAGCATTTTCTTGCTACAGGTGAAGTCCCAAGGTGGGCATGCTTAGAATGATGTGTCTATCAGAGTTTTGGTCTATTTTAAATATTCATTTTTTCCTTAGTTTTGTTTCTGCCTCTGATTCATATGGTCTACTGCTATATGCTACATCTGGGGCTCATTGATAGCAATGGTTGCTTGCCTGCCATTGTTCAAAGCTGTTTCTAAAGGACAGATGCTTTCTGTCTGAACTTCATGAATTCTATCAGTTTTAATTCTAGTGTTTCTTCCATCTACTGCTCTTGCTCAAATAGATATAAGAGGAGAGTTGTAGGAACTATAGTTCTCTTGTATGACTCCTTCCAAATGCTCTCAAGTAACAAGAATGGCTCAAATACTTTTTGAATGAGTTTTGGCAGGAAATATAGCATTGCCTGTACTGAGAGATGCTGGGAGACAGTCTCGCATTATAGAAATTCTTTCTAAATCTATTTCCTTCATAGTTGTTGACTGCCTTTTGCTTAAAACCAACAAAAACAAACATGCAAAATAAGCCACCAAACAAAACTAACAAACCTGTTGTCCTCAGTTCCTATATTTGCAAAAGGTAGTAGATTAGAATTTTGCTTATAAGAAAATATGAATTACACTAGGGTCTCGAAAATCACTCTTTCTTTAGGCTGTTTGCGACCCACACAGAGGAAGGGCTGGTCGTAAGAAAGAGGTGATTCCAAATCTTTTGAAAGATGAAACAAGAATAAGTTAGTATAGGAATATTAGGTGGTTTCATGGTAGTTCTCAGACTTTAAGTCCATGGAACACTGTTGTTTCTTGAGCTGAATAGATTCCAATAGAGAAGAAAAGAAAGCAATTAGCAGCACCTTTTCCAGAGTCAAGGGGAAAAAAATGAATCCCCAGACAAGATTTTCCCAATTTCAAGTTACTTCAACTCTTATCACTCTTAAAGTCCAGTACTGCAAGTGAGACACACAATGAAGAAATTGCAAATGAACATGAATAGGATATAATTGACCATATCTATTTTGATCATTTGCTTTCCTTATGGACTCGTGTATCTATGACTATTTGCATTTTATACATTTATGGGGGGAAAATGAGAGGTGCAGTGAAAAGAGAGAGAGAGAGAGAAAGAGATACTGCCAATAAACATGACTATTTTATATAGATGTGTTCAAAACAGGATAGTTGTAACAGCTGAATTCTAGCAAACAAAAAGTTTTATCACTTTGTAAAGAATGCCATGACTTCCAGTTACTTTGACATCTGAATAAGATGAAGTAAAATCATCCAGTAAGTTTCACCCAGTTTTCATTGCCACATCAGAGACCTCTGCCACCACAGTTCCAAGTCCTACTCTGTCCTCTCCAGAGTTTCCGGAAAAGCCCAGTTAAGAGATCTTTAAGAAATTTCTTCCATTAGACAGCATTCCCCCTCAGCATTTAAGAGATAATATTCTCTTTCAAGTAGCTTTTTTCTTCATGAACTGTTGAGGTATTATGTCACATTAGCTGGTAGTTTCCCGCACTCTGAAGGGCACTGAATATTTCTCCTTGCCCTAGTAATGAAATCATCCTGGCCATATTATCAGCACAGTAGAGATGTTATTGCAGAAATGCAAAGTGAAAGATGGACAAATGCTCACCTTTTGCGTTTGGAAATAGATTTTGAAATTCAAGACGAGGTGATGAAATTAGGGAATTTTGAATCGCAAGAGCTGGGTTTTTATATTTTTCAGAAGCAGAAACTGAAAAGTTCAAAGCATAAAGTTCATGCCCCCCAAATGGTTTCATGTTTTTCCTCAATCTTTTTAAAAAACTTTTTAATGTTTATTCATTTTTTTGAAAGAGAGAGAGACACAGCACAAGCAGGGGAGGGGTAGACAATGAGAGGGAGACAGAGAATCCGAAACAGGCTCTATGCTCTGAGCTGTAACACAGAACTTGAACCCATGATCATGACCACATGAACACAAGATCATGACCCGAAATAAAGTCAGACGCTTAACTGACTGAGCCACCCAGATACCCCAATCTTTTTTCGTTTTTAAATATGAAATGCTGGGGCGCCTGGGTGGCTTAGTCGGTTAAGCGTCCGACTTTCGCCTGGGTCATGATCTCGCGGTTCATGGGTTCGAGCCTCGCATCGGGCTCTGTGCTGACTGCCAGCTCAGAGCCTGGAGCCTGTTTCAGAGTCTGTGTCTCCCTCCCTCTCTGACCCTCCCCTGTTCACGCTGTCTCTCTCTCTCCTAGAAATAAAAATATTTAAAAAAATATGTATTAAATATGAAATGCTTCATGAATCTGTGTGTCATACTTGCACAGGGGCCATGCTAATCTTCTCTGTATCATTCCAATTTTAGTATATGTGCTGCTGATGCAATCACTAATTTTTCTCAGTCTCGATGAAGCTCCTTCAAGTTGGGCTTAGGAAGATAATAGCTTTAAAAAAAGTATTTCAGAGTGAAGCCTGGGTGTGAGTGTCTAAGCTGTGAATGGGTCATGTTATGTTCTCTCTGTGGTTATTTCCAAGTGGAGGCATATGATAGAACTTCTTATACCTTCCATTTATGTTTGTCACTCAGAACTGAAGGTGGAGCCCAAGGAAGCTAAAAAAAATGGAGACCGTCCAGTGCCACATCCGCTTAGTGCAGCAGCAGTGGAGCAGAAATGGTGGTGGGATGTGACTAGCAAATCAGACTTAAGAGAGCTCTAAAGACATTTTCCTATGGCCCTCAAGAGGTTCATGGAAAGTAGAAATATATCTCATGGCTCGAGAATGGCAAAGAAGTATACCAGATCATAAAATGCTTCTCTAGATGGAGAAGGGAACATAGACCATGAAACAAAAAGTTAGGCCCATTGGGATAGTGGATCTCCGTGGATGCCAGCATGGGAGCATGAGATGCTAGGGATCAAGGAGGCTGAAAGTGTCAGGAGGTGACCAGATTCTGGCCAATAACCAATATCGCCCCACTCCACACACACACACCACCACCACCACCACCACCCACTAATTCCTACAGACTTAGGTAAGAATTCAGAAACCTGGGAAAGAAAGGCAGGAAAAGAAAACTCTTAGAGGGCTAGCTTAAATTTGAAATTACTAATTTTAGACTTGACTAAAATCAGTTAGGATAGGGGCCTGAGTTTATTTCTAAAAAATGACAGAGGCATATTATCTTCGCATATCTGAATATCAGGACCTGATCATTTATACTTGTTACATATACTTGATTTCTTCCTATTTCTATTACAGAATCTTGATTGGAAATGACCTTATCTTAGGATATAGAATTACTTTTTTTTAAAAAGTTTATTTTCAGAGAAGAGAGAGAATACACATGATCAGGGGAGGGGCAGAGAGAGAGAGAATCCCAAGTGGGCTCCATACTGTCAGTGCAGAGCCTGACATGGGGCTTGAACTCATGAACTGTGAGATCATGATCTGAGCCAAAATCAAAATTTGGATACAACTGACTGAGCCATCCAGGCACCCCAAGAATTTAACTTAGAGATTCATTTCTGAAACTAGGCTATAAAGCAAAATTGTTTACAATGAAAACTCACTCAAGAAATCCCTTAGGCCAAGCATACAGTGCAATATACTATGTATTTTTTCAATTCATCCCACACAGGCAGTTTTTCCTCCAGGGCTGAAGAACAGCTGATTTTTTCAGGTGACACCAGATTAAGTTGTGTGCTTTGTGTCTTGAGACACCTAGGTAGCAAGAAACTCCCCAAATGAGAGATTCATGGGATTGGACATCAGGTGATGGCAGATTCATTCTTTCTACCTGCCACTCTGAGGCATCGGATCATCCAGCAGAAAGAGGTCAGCTTTTCCCACGTTCTCTCTCCTTGAATTCTTGAATTCTCTCTCCTACACACAGGCTCTCACTCTCTCTCTAAATTTACTCTTGTATATTTGAGTAAATTGTATATGGGCGATTGGACTCTTGAGTTCAATCTTGAAGTTTTCATTTGGACATTATGGCTCTGGGCAGGTGGCCTTTGTAAACAGCCTACCTGGCTTGACAATTGTGGGTTGATTCCAATATCATTTAAACTCAGCCTCTTTCCTTCCAATGCTTAGTATCTGTTCTCTATCTCACAGGGTTAAAATAATATGGGCTTCTTTCTTCACCCAATATACAGAGGTTTTGAAAACACACTAACATTTTCAAAACTGCACCTGACTTGGGGCGCCTGGGTGGCTCAGTCGGTTGAGCGACCGACTTCGGCTCAGGTCATGATCTCACAGTTCGTGGGTTTGAGCCCCGCGTCGGGCTCTGTGCTGATTGATGGCTAGCTCAGAGCCTGGAGCCTGTTTTGGATTCTGTGTCTCCCTCTCTCTCTGACCCTCCCCTGCTCACAGTCTGTCTCTCTCAGAAATAAATAAAACATTAAAAAAAAAAAGAAAAACTGCACCTGACTTAACTGCCTATTTGGAAAGGGCAAACTTGAAAGATACTTTTAACTTCCCTTAGGCATTGAGTTACTGTCTTTAAAATGCAAACCCATTGTTGATAGTAAATCAGCTTTTAGAAGCAAAACTAGCTGTATACAGTTGTGAGCTCAGATTCCATAATTATGTTCTTTAAAAGTAAACTTTTATGATTATTTTCAGCTAGGAAAAAAATTATGCTGAATTTTAGTGTTACCGATTCTTTCTTTAAATTTTGTTAATGTTTATTATTTATTTTTGAGAGAGAGAGACAGAGTGTAAGCAGGGGAGTGACAGAGAAAGAGAGAGACTCAGAATCCAAGGCAGGCTCCAGGCTCTGAGCTGTCAGCACAGAGCCTGACTTGGGGCTCAAATCCAGACTGGGAGATCATTACCTGAGCTGAAGTCAGATGCTTGACTGATGGAGCCACCCAGGTGCCCCTAGAGTTACTGATTCTTATTAGTAATGACTAACAATTATAGGCATAGTTACAGGTAGATAGTGGTTTTGTGGGAATTCAATTTCAATTTAGGAATTGAATACAGCTCATGCTTAAACACCAACGGTTTGAACTGAGGATCCATTTACACACAGATTGTTTTTGATAAATACAGTACTATAAATGTATTTTCTCTTTCTTGTAATTTTCTTAGCATTTTTTCTATCTTACCATATATTGTAAGAATATAGTACATAATACATATACAAAATATGTGTTAATCAACTGCTGATGTTATTGGTAAGGCTTCTCGTCAACACTGGGCTATTAGTAAAGTTTTGGGGGAGTTGAAAGTTACATGCACATTTTCTAATGCGTGGGGGGATGGCAACTCTAACTCCTGTGTTGTCCAAGGATCAACTGTATAGACAATATTGTGAGGTTAAATTTAGGCATTAAAATTACACTTAAAATGAGATTAATGTATCAAAATTTTAAAAATTAAGTTTACATACACCACAAAATCAACATTGCTATGGCTTCTCCCCAGATCTCAGAGGGGTTCCTAAACAAATAAAGTGCCCAGAAACATATATTTTTATTAGCTGCATGATAAATAGCACTTTGGACACAGATTATTGGGAATTTCCTAAATAACATTGAACTGGACACTTTATATTTGTTATTTCATCTTTAATGTCATAAAATATATGGTTATCCCATTTAGAGGTTAGGAAGGCAAAGCTCAAAGATGGTGAGAAACTTGCCTAAGGTCACACAGCTAATAACAGAAAAAAAATCCTAATGCATTCAAGTCTAATTCATTCCAAACCCTCTATTCCTTTTTTATGATACTTACTTAAAATTTGATCAGCACAATTTAAAATGTACCTTAGTGTCAGTTGCACTTAGACCTAAAGAGACAGATATGTCCTTCCTTCTTCACTCATCCTTTCAACTTATTTTACATGTGATTTAAATCTTGACCATGGATGCAGGTTTTACTGGCCAATATTGTGACAAACATTAGATTTATGCCCAGATTCTGAAAACAGTTATGTTTTGTAGAAGATTCTGAGTAAAAATCAGGCTAGGCATAGTATTTTTAAAACCTCAGTAGAGCTATTAATATTCACTTACCAATATGTTAAAAACTAAATAGTCTTACCATGTTTTAGATTCATCCTGGAATACTGTGTCTGGGGGCAAAGAATCTGTGGAAATATTGGCTTCAGACTTCTGTTTATAATTCAACCAAGCCCCAGCTCTGAGTCTTATAGAAACACAAAGCAAGAGTTTCTCTGTTCTTTGATTAGTATCTGCTCAGGTTATTGATTTTTCTTTTTTTCTTTTTCTTTTTTTTTTTTTTTTTACCATTTCTCTTTGGGCCTGGAGCTTGGCATTTATGATGCTTAGCTATAGGACCCCAGAAATCTTCAGGTTCCAAGCATAGAGGTTTTTTTTGGTGGGTTTACAATTTTTCAGGCTTCTGGGTGTGTTAAAGTAAGAGGTTAAAAAAAAAGAGGTAAACCACCTTTCATTACATATGTATGTATATATAGAACATTATAGAACATTTATCTATTTAAATATTGGTAAAGGTTATTTGTGTTTGGATGTAGTGGTTCTTGACAGATGATTCCCTAAACCCTCACCAGTGGATGTCATGTTGCTTCAAGAGCATGTCATCGTTTATTTGCTGCTTTGGAAACTTCAGCTATATGATCCTTTTGTTTTTAGTCTTGGTTTCATGGTAGGTCTTTCAGACTCTGCCATGACTTGGTTCACATCATCTTGACTTAACTTTAAGATGTCACAGATCAAGTATCTAATTATATGCTTTCTTGCTTCCTATGATCTCTCACTGCTGGTCCCCTGTCAACACCAGTTTTTAAGTTGATTTTCTTTGGCAGTCATGCCCCTGAAATTTATATATGTATATATTTACTTATGTATTTTTTGCTCTGGAGTTTGGCCATGCATTTTCAACATCTGTGTTTTAATCAACATTTTAATTTTGTTCTAGTGACTTCCAATTTACTACTTTCTCAGTCAGGCACTTGGGACAGGGGCATATGAAGAGAATTTTTTCTATTCTTCATTGATAGAAATGTTATCAATGTAATATATATTCATAATACAGATATTTCCATGCCTTAAAAAGAATACAATGGCAATTGTTTTTCAGATAAGAGTCGGGGGGATGACCCCTTTACAGCCAGAAGAGGTTTTCCTTATTTTTTATAATGTTTTCATTTATTTTGAGGGAGAGAGCAACAGAGTGCAAGCTGGGGAGGGGCAGAGAGAGAGATAGACAGACACAGAATCCAAAGCAGATTCCAGGCTCTGAGCTGTCAGCACAGAGCCTGATGCAGGGCCCAAACCCACAAGCGATCAGAGCCAAAGTCAGACACTCAACTGAGCCATCCAGGTGCCCCAAGGTTTTCCTTATATAATGCATAGTAATACATTTTCCCCAGAGTCAGGGCATAAAACAAGC